GACCGCGGCACCCGTCGTGATCGCGATGGCATCCGTTATGTCTGCAACCATGATAAACGCAACGTGACTGAAAACGCGGGCTATTTAAATCACTGGTTTTAACGGTTCAATGGTATAATTGAAATGAAAATTAAAGTTTAGTGCTACAATTGACAAAATTAAAAGTTCAGTGGTATAAATGATACAATGTCTAGAGTTCGGTGGTATCTGATGTAGTTTAACCTATATTATTTGATTTTGTCACTTTTACCAATGTGGTGCGGTACCATTTTTAAATTAATTTAATACTTATATTTATCAAAAGTTACACATTTAATACTTGAATTAATCACTTTTATATATACGGTATATGTGTGTTTTCTTTTCAGCCCACCTATATTTGATAGAAATTGCACATTTGGTACGTGTTGAATATTTAAAATATAATATAGTTTGCATGTCGCATTTGTTATATTAAAATAAAAGGTAAACTAAACTATTAGTTTTGATTTATTTTAATACCTAAATTTTTAATCTTTTTTAAAATTATACTTAATGTTTAGTTTTTATTTCATTTTAGTATCCCACCGTTAAAAACTTAAATTGTTTAATATTTAAGCTATCAGTTTTAGTCAATTTTAGTACATGAACTTTCAATTTTTTTCAAAACTTTAAGTTAAATTTTGAACATGAGTACTAAAATGAAACAAAACTAAACTTTAGGAATGGTTTTGAAAAATTTAAAGTTTAGATACTAAACAAACTAAAATTAATAGTTTAGTACTAGACGTGTAACTTACCCTCAAATAAATTTAGTATGTTTATTGTAAGTACTAATTTTGTCCGGGCTCGTGCGCAACAATTTGAGAGCCAAAAAACCCTAAACCAACCTCAATTTTGGATCTGATCAAAATCTAGCCCAACATCACTCCAACGGGTATAAATGAACGAAATTTGAACCTACTAGATCTTATTCGTGTTCATTTATTTATTTTTAAATATATTTTTATTTAATTCGTGTTTGTTTAAAATTTTAATATCGTGTTTGTATTCGTTTATTTGTTTATTTTTAAAGGTGTTTGTGTTTGTTCGTTTATCGTTTGCGAACATGTTTCTTTATATGTTTGTGAACTTTTTTATTTAAAGCTCGTTTAGTGTTTGTTTATATGTTTGAACATGTTCATTTAGTGTTTATTTTTACGTTTGCGAAAATGTTAATTTGTAAGCTAAAAAATGGTAAAATTATATCACTAATGCTTAAACTCCTTAAGCTTCATAGTTTAAACTTCAAATTTCACAATGTGTGTAATTTAGTTCCTACATTCACCAGTATTTTAAAAAAAATATGAATGAGCTTCTAAATGAACTTGATATAAACATAAATGAATGAGTCGATAAACAAGTTTATAAACAAATTTATTTGAGAGCGCAAACAAAATGAACACATATATTTATATTCGTTTATTTATTACATAAATATAAAAATTTTATTCATATCCATTTATTTAACTTAAAAATGAAAATCTTATGATCGATTTATTATTTACACCATTACCCACTCCCAAAACCCAAGTCAGCACCTGGTCAGACCTCTCCCTCCCTATCCTTGAAAATCTGACCGGTCAAATCAACTCCAAATCTTTAAGAATCTAGCCACTGTCATCCCTCACCAAAATGACCGGACTAATAAAATAACGCCTATGAACCCCAAAGCAAAGGAGCATATGCCTATGATGACTATTTGTTACCTTTGATTTCCAACGATTGAAGCCTTTGACTTTGAATCTGAGGGATCAACGGGCACAGGCAATTACAGAGGAGCTTATACCTTGGAACAATCATTGATATCTAATTTATTGATCGATTAATTATGATCGGGTATTTTAGATACAAATACGACCCTCCCAATCTAATTTACTATATTCGTAATCACCGGGATAAAAACTTAACCTTATTTAAGGAATCTAATGCCACATCATGTTAGATCAACTAGTTGTTTGTAACCTTGGAACGAATTCGATCAAAAGAAAGAGCATAAAAATTAAGATTTATTAATCGAATGATAAAAGATGTTTAAATGGTAATATATTTTTTTTAATGATAATGAGGCCTAAGCTAGAAAATTACTTCTTTACATGGCTATAAGGAGGGCTGAGAAAATCTCTACCCATGATACTAGTAAGCTAATCCGGTGGAGAGTCGAGGACTACAAGAGCACCATCAGGAGGAACGTCATGCTTGGCAATGAAATCAACATCATAATTTGCTTCTCGGTTGATCACAGTAAATTCGACAAACCATGCTCGATGGCAAAGCTTATCAATGGCACGAACCAGGGAATATGGACTGATGTGCGTGGCATTCTTAATAAGGTTGTGAGCACCAGTATTATCCATTTGGACGAGAACACGTTCGAAGCCATTTGACCATGCAAGGGAGAGACCTTCGAAGATAGGCCATAGCTCAGCTTGGAGGACGGAGGACTAGCTTTTAAGTTTGTTGAACGCTAGAAGGAAAGATCCATCGTGGTCACTAAAAATCCCACCAATGGAAGCCAAACCAGATCAATGTGAAACCATTTTTGTTCTTTCATATTCTTCAATATCATTAGTTCTAAATTCACTAGGATTGTTCTTTTTCCTTTGAAATCCTTCATTTCTTTCTCTTTAAGTAGGATTATATTTAGAATTTATCAAAAATATATTTTAACTTCTTTCAATTAATTCTTAGTTTATTAATTAGTTAATAATCGAGTATAAGTTTAATTTTTCATTAGGTACTAAATATGATTAATAAAATTGATAATATTATCTTGATTGGCTTTGTGAATTTGATTAAATAAGGCTTAATTATAAAATAAGTGTATGAACTATACCTTCTTTTCCAAATAGATGTCTAAACTTTTTTTTAATCATCCAGTTGCCTAACGTTACAAACGTCATCACTTTAGGTGCCTGAGCCATATTGCTGTTAAATTTTTTCGTTAAGTAACATGTGTCATGTTCTGAGAATTTTAAAGTTTTTTTAAATAAAAATATTATTTTATTTATAAAAAACCCTTAATTTCTTTTATATTAAAAAAACAAATCCCTAAAAATCCCAAATCTCTAATCCTAATATGTCGATGTCACCCTTACCAGCCACCGTCGTTGACATAGTCCTTATCATCTTCCTAGTCATACGACGTCATAGTTGTCGCTGATTGGCTGTCAGAATTTCATGGGGTCGTAATTTTCAGCATAGCGTTCGTAGGGTACAAACATTGATGGTTCATCGACAACAAAGTTTTGAGGCTTTCTTCAAAGGATTTCAAAAAATTTCAGTTTATTTTAAATCTAATTTTAATTTTTTAATTTAAAATAAAAAAATTTAAAATTACAAACATGAAACATGTCTTTTAATAGTACACCTAAAATGGTAATTTTTATGTTTGTAATATTAGGCTTGTTTAAAAAAGTTTAGATATATATTTAAAAAATGACATAATTCGAACATTTATTTTATAATTATAATTAAGCATAATTAAAACTATAGAAATGGAAGAAGAAAATACTGAAATGAAAACATAAAAGCGAAGGAGACAAAATAAGAAATAAGGACAAAAGCGTAGTATTATTGTACCAAACAAAGTTAATTAGGAAGTACGGGAGTCTCACGAGACATGGGGCGTAGGGCACCGCCCTTTCTCCTTGTTATGGGTTCCGGATCTTTTAGCCTTTCCCGGGTCGGGTTGTAAACTTGTAATTTGCCCATTTTTCAATTCCAATTGGGTTTAGATTGATTTATAAAGGTTTAATTTTGCTCCCACTCTTTGTAATTTTTGTGCTTTCAATAAATTGTCATTTTGTTTTTATTTATAGAAATTTAATCCCTCTCTTTAAAAAAATAAAATATAATTGATAAAGTTGTTACTAGATTTTCATTTAATTTTTTAAAAAAAGAAACTAATTTTATTCAAAATAGGAAATATTCCAAATTACAATAAAGATTTGGGATCACAAACGTAAATTAAGCACATAATTAAGAAAATTTCCTATAATCATTGAAACAAAACTAGCAACTTAAGATCACATAAGGACCATACAAGGAAAGATTAAATCTAACCTAGAAATTCGAACAAAGATATATACAAACAGATCTGATCGCATAGACAAACGAACCATAAAATGGAATCAAGTTATTGAAAGACCACCCATAAACCGCAAATCAGACTCGAGCGATGTGAAAAGCTATCCACGATCGCAAATCGGGTATTCAAATCCAATATGAGGCTTTAAAATAGAGAATATCAACAAGATAACAGAATAAGCGTCATCTTGATCAATCGCGGCGATGTCAAATCAATCCTTAAAAAAAGATAAATGAAAAAACGACCAAAGAATCGAAAATTGCCAAAAGCATAAGAAAATGTGACATAAAGGCAGATAAAAACATGCAACATAAACAAACTTATTGAAAAAAAAATAAAGATACAATATAGAAATAAAAAAGACAATAAAGAATATAGACGGTCAACAACCAACGTTAAAGTTGATACCGCCATCGATTAATCAAACCAAAAAATAAAATAGATCAGCGACATACCAATAAATGAAATATAGAGTTTTTTTTCTCTTTAAAAGTATTATCTAATTGATAAATATTGCTTCCATTTAATTTTTAAATATGTGATATTTTAATAATCAAAAATTTAATTTAAAATTTAAATTCAGCCGGTAACATAGAAGATTTTAATTTTAGACGAGGGAATGAACTTAATTTATTTTCCTCGATTTTTAACTCTATGAACAATGAATGTAAATAAAATCACATTTTATGAAATTCAATTATGAAATTCAAAGTTGAGGGACTAAATTTTAAAAGTTTGAAGAGTACAGTGACAGAGAACAAAATAAACCATTTTAAAAACCCAATTATAAAATAATTACATTCTCGAATATTTCAATTTACTCCTTTATATAAATGAAGAAAAAGCCACTCCCTTTTCCATTGTCTTCAACAAAGTCCCTTCCAACTGGTGCCAGTTGCAAAACAGAGCTTCTAATTTCCCAAATGGCAAAGCTAATCCCCTGTTTTCTCCTCTGCTGCTTCCTCTTCACCTTGACCCAAAGCAGACAACCCCACGGCGAAGAACAAGCAGCACTGCAACAACAAGAAGCCGACAGAGTGACGAACTTGCCAGGACAGCCGCCGGCGAAGTTCCGGCACTACGCCGGATACGTTAAACTCCGGCCACAGGACTCGAAGGCGTTGTTCTACTGGTTCTTTGAAGCCCAATATGAAGTTTCTCGCAAGCCTCTTGTTCTTTGGCTTAATGGAGGTTTGACATACTGATCATCTCTTCCAGTATTGCTTACTATTTTCGCTGTCTTTTCTCCATTGATTTGCTTGCTTCAAAAAGGGTAAATATATATTTTGGTACATAAACTTAGCTTCTAAGTTCAATTTAGTACTTGAGATTCTTTTGTCTAGGGTACCAAATTGAGCTTCAAAACAAAGTTCAAACACCAATTTGTATATTTACACTTAGTTACTGGATCTTAAACATAGATGATAATGGAAAACAGTCAAAGAAGAAACAGATTTCAAAGTACATTTGTCCCCAAAAGGACTTTGATAGGAGCAGAGAAGATGATGAATGAAGTGCTCAGAGAAAAAAAAACCAACAGTAAAATAGGAGAATATTTGCTGTCATAAAGGAGGAGTATGTGTTTACCTTTTAGAAAAATTATCTGGTCAAATTATGTCTTTAGTCCTATACTAACCATAAGTTATGTATTTAATCCTAATAATTTAAATTTTTCAAAGATAACACGATTAAACTAAAGGGGCCAAAAACGATTCATTTAGAGAATAAGAACTAAATCTGTATAACTTTACTTGTAGCACCGAGGCTAGTAGTAGAAAATGAAGTTATATTATTAAATAATTAATAAAGATCCTCGAGAAGATAATAATTGTACAGTGTCTGTGCAGCTGCTCATTGATTTGTCTGCCTATAAACTTCAAAAGATATTTTATTTTTACATCCAGTTGGTTTTTCTTTACACTTAAGTTTTCGCCTATTTTTATGTATTTTTATTATACGACATTCTTAATATACGGTTAAAAAAAAATTTATCGAAAATATTATGATTTTTTTAATATTTTCGATAAAGTATTATCTAAAATATTATTATTTTTTATCGAAAATGTTATTTTCGCTAACTAATTTATGGTAGAATCTAATATTAATATTTTATGTAGAAAAAAATAATATTTTAAGTAAAGTTTTACCGAAAATATTAAAAAAATAATATTTTTAATAACGTCTTTTCTTAATAGTATATTAAAACTATCGAGACATCCTTTATTTTTTTTCCTACCAAATTCAAATTTAATAGTAGCGTGATTGAGAATTTTAGGGCCATTTTTGCTATTCAAATTTCAAAGACAAAATTGGGAATTAGACACATCTGTTGCTTTTACCCTACCGCTTGCTTGCGGGGCCGGCCATGACCTTTGAGACTTTGACCGGACGTGCCCATATCTTGGGAACATATATTATAAAATATATTAGGATATGATACATAATCGATGTAAATTAAATTTTGTATAATTTTATCTAGTTTAGGGTTTAGAGTCAAATTTTAGGGTTTAATATATTTTCAGATTATCATCTTCATTTTAAATTTTATATTTTTCTCCTTAAACTGTGGCTTTCTTTTTAAATTAGTCTCAAACTTTATTTATTCTAATTTTATCCTCATATTATGACCCTCATTTTAAGTCAGTCTTCACACTTTTGAATCTCCCATATCCATCTAAATATATAATTAGTTTTGACCAAGTTTGACCTGGATTTTGTTTTTTTTTCAAACATATAATAATGCAGCTTTGCATAAAAGTCTTAGTAACAAGGGATGCGATTAATATGTATCGATAATTTGTGATTAAAGTAATATATTCAAAAGTTTAGGGATTGATTTAAAATGATAACCATAATTTGAGGAAAAATTGGAATGCAAAAAAGTTTGAGGACTACTTCAAAAAGAATCATAGTCTGGGGACGGAATTGAAATCTTCAAAAGTTTAAAGACTAATTTAAAATGATGATCATAGACGTGTAATCAGACAGACTCTATTAAAAATATAATAAATTAAAGGTGGGTCCCGAGTTATTGGTCTGTTCCTGAAAAATTGTGGGTTTGGGACCCACCTGCTCCTCCAATTCTAATCAATTAGCCTTTACCAAAATTCCCACCATCTTTACAAAAGCATACGTCTCTTCTCTTTTTCATTCGGCGGTAAGAAGCTTCTCTTTACTTTTATTTATAGTCTAATCAATTTGAATACAATTAATATAAATATATATATATATTTATCACTTTGATATGAGTTTTTAGAAGGTGTCGATGAGTGTTACAGCTAACTGTTGAGATTCATAAATTTAAGTTCATAAGGTTAAGTTCAAAAACTATCATCAGTATTCTTGATGGACAATCTGTAAATTTTTATATAAATCTCAATTAAGTTTTAGGTATATTCTGACTCTGGACTGAGAGAGTCACCATGACCTAAATTTTTTTGTATCATTTTTTATGAGTTATTGTAAGGTTAAAATTATTTTAAGTTTGGATTAATTTAAATAAAATCATTTTAGAATTCAATTGTTTTTAAATCGATTTTGTAGATGTATTTTGTTTCGAATTCGAATAATATAATTTTTGGGCTAAATTGGCAATGTTTTAGGACCTGGTTGCTCGTCGGTGGCCTACGGAGCAGCACAAGAGCTTGGTCCTTTCCTTATTCGTAGCAATGACTCTCGGCTTACTTTCAACAAATTCTCTTGGAATAAAGGTAGTCCAAATATTCCCATTCAAATAAAAAATTATATATTAGAATATTAGATGCAGGGATGGACCGAGGGATGTTGGGGGTACGATACCCCTTAAAATTTTCAAATGCTCTTATATTTTAGATTTTTAAAGTATTTTTTATTGATTATCTAATTTCGCATCCTTAAAATTTTCAATATAATTTCTTAAGTTCGCACCCGCATCCATCCTTAACTAGATGTACTGATCGCAGTGGCGAATCTAAAAATTAAAAAATATGTGTCCAAAATTTTAATATTTAGAAAATTTGAGTATGCAAAATTCCTTTTTTTTTTCTTTTCCTTTAGTATATTAAATTAAATTTAGGAATTTTATTAAAATAATGAGTATGCAATTGCTCCTTATGGGAGCTGCATACATCCACCACTAACTGATCGTATATAATTTTATTTATTATCTGTGAATTTTGTAAATACATTTTTTTATTTCGAGTTCGATTCTAACATGTTATATTTACATTGGGTTATATATAGTGGCAAATATGCTGTTTTTGGAGGCACCGGTTGGGGTCGGATTTTCTTACACCAACAATTCCAAGGATTTACATGAGCTTGGTGATCGAATTACAGCGGCAGACTCTTATAATTTCTTAACAAATTGGTTCAAAAGATTCCCACACTTCAAAGCCCATGATTTTTACATTGCCGGAGAGAGTTATGCTGGTAATTTTTTTCAACTTTTTACCCCTTCGATTATTACCACTTTATGTGCACTCATAGTGCTTTTGTCTCCATCAAGGTCATTACGTTCCCCAGCTGGCGCAACTCATTTATGACAAAAACAAAGCATCGAGTCCCGACTCCTACATTAATTTCAAAGGATTCATGGTACGTAATCGAGTCTAGTGAGATCGAGTAATTCGATTTTTATTTATAGCATGTAACGTTTGTTCGGGTGGTTTGTAATGATCCAGATAGGAAACGCGGCGATCAACGAACCGACGGATACCTTAGGGCTCTTCGATTACGCGTGGAGTCACGCAATCATCTCGGACCAACTCTACGATAAGATACACACGGAATGTGACTTTAAACAGAGCACCAGTAACCTTACGGCCCGATGCGCCGATCATATCAGAGGTTTCATGGACGCTTACGCCAACATCGACATGTACAGCATCTACACTCCGGTGTGCACCAAATCTCCCAGAACAAGAACATACCCCAAACTCACAGTAAATCCCTAAATAACTTTGTGAGTATATATATATATCATGTATGTATGTATGTATACTAACTCGGTTTCGATTAAGGGTTTTTGGCATAAGCTACCGTCGGGGTACGATCCATGCACGGAAGACTACGTCGAGACATACTTCAACAGAAAAGATGTTCAAAGTGCATTGCATGCTAATCTGACGAAGCTTCCATATCCCTACACTACATGCAGGTAAGAAAAACACCGAGTACAATACTAAATTGGAGTTGCAATTGAGGTTATGGTGTTGCGGCCCTTACATTGTGTTTCGGTCGCAATTTAATACTATGATGCTAAACCATGTTTTTTCTTTGTTCTAATTACTCTGGTTTTACAGTTTCTTAATTGGCTAATGTGTGGTGCATGAAAATTAAACAGAGAATCCTGGAACTTTCGAGCATTTAATGAGAGCATGTGTCTAATAATCGAAGTAGAGCTTTCAATCTGTTTAAACACTGACACATGAAATTTAATGAATGAGAGGGACAACTATTCGTATTCGATATTTATATCCGATACATATTTCATGTGACGGTCTTAAATATTGACAGCGGTGAAATCAAGGGCTGGAATGAATCTCCCGATTCCATGTTGCCCATCATTCAGAAACTCCTCGATGCTGGCCTACGTATTTGGATTTACAGGTACTTGCATGCTTACCTACATACGTGTGTAGATATTTACATAAATACCGAATAATTAATGGAGTAATTTTTGTTGGCGTTGTCGTTGTTGCAGTGGAGATACAGATGGGAGAGTGCCGGTGACGTCTACGAGGTACAGCATAAAGAAGATGGGATTAAGAGTGAAAGAAGAGTGGAGGGCGTGGTTCCACAAGAGTCAAGTGGGTGGATGGGTGGAGGTGTACGAAGGGGGGCTGACGTTCGCCACTGTGCGCGGTGCCGGCCATCAAGTCCCGGTGTTCGCGCCTTGGCAGTCGCTTAATCTCTTCACCCATTTCCTCGCTGCCACCGCCTTGCCGTCTTCACGGTTCTAGCTGAATGCCAGCCACTTGCTATCCAATATATATGTTCCGACGAACCTAGTTTGGACATTTAATTTATATCAAAATGTTTTTAGTTACAATTACAATATTGCAATTCTATTTATATTCTATTATCATTAGAGTTTTAGTGCACTCAATTATTAATGATGTGATAAATTAAATAATTATTTGTGTTTTCCTACAAAAAGATATTAAATATTTCCACAGTTGTTGTCAACCAATTACCTTTAGTTATGTGACGTTATTTATGATAATATTAATATCACTATTTATATTTCACTTTTTTTCTTCTCTTTAGATTAATTTTACATTAATTTTATATGAAGTCCACTCAAAATCAATAAAATTTATTTTGATGTTTTAATGTTTCAATCTCATCATATAGTCGTATGATGAAACTAGTTTCAAGGTATGTTGCTTGTAGGAATCGGGTCGGTTTTTTTTTAAAAAAAAATCGGTTTCGTGTCAGGTCGGGTCAGATTTTTTTAAAGGTGATGTTAGGGTCGGATTGAGTTGGATTTTTTAAATGTGATGTTAGGGTCGGATCGGATTCGGGTGAAAAATACCCGACCCGGAAAAATATAATTTTATCTTATATAAGTCCACTCAAAATCAATAAAATTTATTTTGATGTTTGTTGTTTTAATATTTCAATCTCATCATATAGTTGTCTATATAGTTGTACGATGAAACTAGTTTCAATATATGTTGCTTGTAAGGATGGGCATAGGATCCGAATCCAATCGGGTCGGGTCGCGTTTTTTTATAAAAAATTTGGTTTCGTGTCGGATCGGGTCAGATTTTTTTAAATGTGATGTTAAGGTCGGATTCGGGTAAAAATACATGACCCGAAAAAAATATAATTTTATCTTATATATTTAGGAATAATTACAATAATATCCCTCTATATATATTATTTTTTTCAATTAAATCAATGTTTTTATTGAATAAAAATAATTATTTTTATTATTTTGAGTCGGGTTCGGATTTTATCTTAAAAAATCGGGTTGGGTTCGAGTCAGGTGGAGGGTAAATATTTTTCAGATTGGGTTGGGTCGAGTTGGCCAAAACTTGACCTATGCCAATCTCTAGTTGCTTGTCTCTCGAAAGTAAGCTTATCATCGTTCATATTTTCGAACAAACACTTCAAACTTCTTTTTAGTACAAGATGAATTCATCGATTTTTAAGGTGACCACGAAAGATATTAAAGAATTTTATTTTCAGTGACAATATAAAATGAATTAAAATAGACGATGAAATATTAATTTTGACGAAGAAAATGATGAAATAAAATAAAAAAAAATAGTATTTCATTTCGGCACCAATTTAAGTTGAACCACCGACTGAAATACTTGTGCTCATTACTCTGGAGGACATGTCTAGTTACTAAGTTTATGTTTGTGTTTAATATTAACTCGATACTAATTAAATTAAAAAAAATAGAAATATTCTTAATATAAATAGGAGGATATAGCAAAGAGTAGTGAAGCAATGATTGAAGTTGAGAAATGTGCAAAACCTTATCCCGAAAACCCAGACTTTGAAGGGGAGCTTTGGAATTTATAATATTCTTATATTTAGTGATAGATTGAGAAATATTTTTTAGAATGAATATATATATTGATAACAAATTTTTTATATAGGATATATATAAATAAAATTTTAAAATAAATAATTTTAATAAAAAAAATAAATAATATAAAAAAAATTCAAATTCGATAATATACATATGATCACCTGAAATTTACATACATCCACCCCTGGTCATGCCTGCACATGCACCAGACCAGACTGTTTCTAAATTATCAACAATTCCAAAGCAACCTTCATATGACAATTTATCTGTTTAAAAACTTCACCCAGAGATAGTGACATTACTCGATCATGTTCGCTATTGGTAGGGTTGAGCTTATTGTTCTTTGTCGAGTTTTTAGGTCATTTTATAATCTTCCTTGATAAGAAATGACCATCCAGCTCAATTGGTAGAGCACAAGATTCTTAATCTTGAGGTCGTGGGATCGAGTCTCATGGAGGGTATTTTATAATTTGGAGGTCTCTCACGGAAGTTGATCTCAACCTGGCGTTGGGGCAATCTTACCTCCTCCTTACCCCATTACATATAGGAATAAGGGTAAGCTAATTATAATCTCCCTTTATGGAGGATATCAAAACAGAAAAAATAATAAATAATAGATCTATTTTACCGTTAAATTTTTAATAAGGTGTAAATTTAAAGTTGAGTAAATTACATTTTTAGTATCTAAACTATTCCTATCAGTTTTAGTTCATTTTAGTATTTAAACTTTTAATTTTTTTAAAATTATACCTAAAGTTTAATTTTTATTTCATTTTAGTATCCATGTTCAAAATTTAACAAATTAAGCAGACCAAAAATGATAGTTTAGGTAATAACGCGTTAATGTTTTGACAATGAGGTACTAAAATGAAACAAAAACTAAACTTTAGATATATTTTTTAAAAAATAAAAGTTTATATACTAAAACAGACCGAAACTGATAGTTTAGGTAGGAAATACATAATTTATCCTTGAAAGTTTAACTATGGCTCGAATACAGTTACACATTTTTTCAACCGAATCTGAAATAATTAAAGAAGAAACTTATTTTTAAAGATAAATTAAAGAGAGAGATTTAATCCATTTAAAATTCTATTCTTGTAAAGTATACAAATGATCTTCCAACTATAGGGGTTGTTTTGTTAAATTTTTTTATTATTAAAAGTTATGAAATGGTCCATTGACTATTTATAAGATACTGCTTTGTTGAATTCTCGACTATTAAGATTTTCAAAATGATCATCCGACTATTCATATGTTTCAAACTCGTCTCGTCATTTTCTGTTGAAAAACTGACGACAGCCTGAGTTGAACGTTAATCTACTAACTGTGATATGATAAAACTTGATCCCAAAATCTCAAATGACTATCATATCTCACTCAATAGATTAACGTCCAGCTCAAGGTGTCATCAATTATCTTAACGAGAAAGGATGAGTTTGTAACAAATGAATAATAGGGTAATCATCTTGTAAATTTTAGCATTCAATGAAACACCACCTTATAATCAAGGGATCATTTATAACTTTTAATAATTAAAGGACTCAATAAAATAATACTTTATAGTCAGAGGATCATTTGTGTACTTTACCCTTTTCTTTGTTCACTGATAAAGAATAATAAAACTCAATTTGACTGAATTTTTTCATGTAATTATTGTTGCAAACAAAATATTATAATTTAAAAATAAGTTGGTTAAATCTTAAATTAAATATAAATCTTTTTATATTATTAAATCAAGTTTAAACACAAATTTTTATTTTATCTTTATTATTATCGTGTTTACATAAATTATATTAATTAAGTGGGTTTCGCATCAATAATCAAATTTATTGTATTTTAATTATTTTAAAATCTAACAAGAATCTACTCGTTGTCTGCTTACATAAAAATCATCGTAACATATTATATGTTAATGATGAAGTATGATCAACTAATCACAATGAAGCGGTCTGCAATGGCTTCCAGAGCGGCCGTTTCTGTAGTATTTGTTTTGGTTTTGCTTAGTGTGAACAGTGAAGGGCTTAGGCAGGGCGGTGCCCCCGAGCCACTGTGACGTTCTGTGCCGGCAAGAAGCGGACAGAGTGGTGGGGCTTCCGGGCCAGCCGGTGAAGTTCAAGCTCTATGCGGGATACGTGACGGTAAATGAGAGTCATGGTCGACCCATGGTTTATTGGTTTTTCGAAGCAACGAGCAAGCCTGATCTCCTCCTCTGGCTCAACGGAGGTAAATTTTAACTCTTTAGGAATCATGATAATTGGCTGTGCTTTTATATTTATTTCAAATTGCAGGTCCCTGATGCTCATCCGTTGCGTCGGAAGCCGAGGAGTTGGGGCCTTTCTTCCTCAAAGAGATGGAAAAACCCTAAAGCTTAACCAACATAGATGGAACAAAGGTAAATACGAAAGGTCAATTTTTGGTTTTACTCCAATTTTGGTCATTATTTTTTTTAATTTCTTCATTAGATTTTCGATTTACTCCTATTTTTGGTTACTCAAGTGTTTAATCATAAATGGAGAAGTGATATAGTAGTCACATGTGTTGATGTGGATTACTACTTTTGTTGACATGAAATTTCTGTGTTGTTATGTCATTTTTCCTTTTTTTATTTTATATTTTATCTCTATAGATTAAAATTTTACAATTTTCATCTTTATGTCACGTCGGTAATGTAATTATCATTCTTCGGTGTATTTTTTGACCACTCAAAATATCGACGAACTTCTCTCATTGTCTAACACCACTATCAATTAAATTTTACCAAAATCACTTTGAACTTTATATAACTCAACTCTAAACACATGAAATCTCAAATCATTTTGATCTACAATATCCATTATCCAATCAACGTAGAATCAAGATATACAATTTATCTCCTATTTATCCACCTCCTCACCATTGTGATTGAGAAGAAGAAGCTTCATGATCGAGAGATCAAAGGAATTTCAAAACTAAGAGATTCTTCATTAAAAAAATTAGGACCACTTCATAGTTTCTAAAAGAAAAAATATATAGTATAATATAATAAAATAATCAAAATAAGAACAAATCGAAAGTTGAATGAATAAATTAAAATATTCTAAATTTTAGTGATCAAAATAGGAGTGGGAAAAAGGTTAGATGATGAAATTTATAATTTATCCTTTAATTTTAGGAATTGAATACGTTAGCTTTAAAATAACAGGATTAAGTACTTATCGGGGTCACTCTACTATTAGCGTGTTCCGATTTTGGTCACCAAATATATATTTTTTAATTTGATGACCAACAATACAAAAATTGATCATTAACATGTTGGATTGATTCTCTATTTTTGTTCTTGTGAGCCAGCTGCCAACTTATTGTTTGTTGAAGCTCCCGTTGGTATATATATATATATATATATATATATTCATCTCTCTTTTCTTTTGCTCTTGGATTTCTTTTAATCCTCTACTCGTTCGACATGTGTACTGACTAATATTATTCGATATATCAAACAAATATTTATATCTGACGCTTATCTAAATAGATTCTTCGTTATTAATTTTCCAGGTCAATTT